AATCACACTATTCGTTTGTAAAGGAGTAGCCCAAGAGTTGGTGGTGGGTGGTGATGATTAGCTGCCTTCCCTCTAGTCTTTCACTGCTAAATTAGGGACGGCTAGCGCAGATAGCCCTCGTGTAGCTTTGCGCGAAATTCAAAAAGAAACAAACACACTTTCAGCCATGGGAGCATTACAATGAGACGGTCAATCACACTATTCGTTTGTAAAGGAGTAGCCCAAGAGTTGGTGGTGGGTGGTGATGATTAGCTGCCTTCCCTCTAGTCTTTCACTGCTAAATTAGGGACGGCTAGCGCAGATAATCCTCGTTTAGCTTTGCGCGAAATTCAAACCAAACCTTTTGTCTGCAACGCGAAAAATGTGGTTATGAAAGAGAACCTCTTGACCTAATACAGTCATTGTGACAAAGATGGGCGTCCTCCAATGTACTATTAAATATATTATCCGATTCTTCTGGAACTTACCTTAAACTTCAACAACTTAATCACTTTGTATTAAACTAAATCCTACGGATTAGTTATGTTATTACTTAGGAAAAAACATAAAATTTTAGTGCTCCAACTTTTTTCAGGTGTATTTTCAAAACGAGACCCAAAGCTCGAGCGCTTTCGAATAGTTGACTATTCTTCTTCAGAGATTCTTCGGAAGAACAGTTAACTATTCGAAAGCGCTCGAGTTTTTGGTCTCGTTTTGAAGATATTGCAATTTTTGTAGGTGATCCTGTGTGCTGACTACTTCACCTGGATTTTTTCGGAGTATGTTGCCATTTCTGCATTTGCAACATAAAAAAAGATGAAGAAAAATAATTAATGTCTCATAATCTTAAACTTTTCAATAATATAAGCAACTATTAGATATAGCTACATATTAGAACGATGATCCAAAAGTCAGGTTGTAAATACGTTTGGCTATAGACTAGCCTCCCCTCCGTTGACTTAGCGGTAAGTTTGAGGGCTTACAACGCTAAACATTTGGGTTCCAATCCTCCTCGTTGGGAAAAGACACACAGAGCTTACTGTGTAGATTCCTGCTTAACAACAAGCAATAGACTATAGATAACACAGATAATCTGGTTCAAGAGTTATTTCTTTTTTTGTCTTTGTATTATCTTGTTATTCATTTCACAAAATATATAATCGTTCAATAAACAATGATAAAGTGTGTATTCAGCATTTAGATTATTTATTTTATGCACAACAATGCTATACGTTTTTGTTTTATCTATTCAGTTCCAATCAACTTGCATTTTTGAATAGCAACAATGCAATCACAGACTTAATGCCTTCATTCGCCAGCTCACGTTGTATATCGTCAAAGTTAACAAAACTAGACAACATTTGTATTCCATAACGGATTTTTTTAAACTCTCAGCTTAGAAACATAGAAATTGTGTTCAGCAGAGTTTTCTTATAAAAAAAAAGCACACACAACTACCTCTACCTTTCTTAGTTTTTGAAGCTTGGAAACTTAAAACTTAGATAATGGTTGGAGACGGCTTGGATGGGTAATGAAGAAAACTTTAATATAAGTTTAACATTAACAGTAAATG